CTGGCGGGTACGAGAGAGCGGGGCTGCCTGGGAGCACGGCCGGCACCGGCACAACGCTTCATTCCGCCTCCCCGGGACGTGCCGCTGTTCATCATCCGCTACTCCTCCTTCCTGCCTCGTCTCTTCTCTTCCCCTTTGCTCTCCTTCTCTTTATTTTCTTGTTCGTTTCCCCCTTCTTTACTGTTCCCGTGTTCTTCTTTAGAGTTCCTGGCATCTTCTTTTTGCTTTTCGCCGTCTTGATTCTCTGCGCTTTGTTCACTTTCCTCTCTCTCTCTGAACTTCTCGAAGTCGTCTTTTGTGTTTTCACTGCTGAAGTCATAATCTGGGGAGGAAAAAGCAAACTTAAACCAAGTTCTAGCACCGAGAAATCAGTAGGGCACAAAAAAAGACAGACCCCTGGCCTCCGGCACCACAGTAAGAAAGCTCTCCTCTGTTTTCTCCCTCACAAGACGCGAGGTGCTGAGCTGCATGACCTGAGGTGAACAGAGACCGGGAGCTGGCAGGCACATCCAGCCACGTCTGGACCCGACAGCAGGCCGGGGGGCTCGGCAGCAGCGGGCACCGGGCACCGGGGACGCTTGGGAGGGAAGTGCTGCCATCTCCTGCTCGGGCTCCACATAGCTCCGAGATGGGCACGGGCAGACCCGAGAGCGCAGCTGTAAGAACGCGGTACTTCGACGGAGATGTCAATTCAATACTCGCAAGGAAATCCATACTTTTATACTATGTGAATTCTAAGGTGCAGCCGATGTTTTTGAAGGCCTCAACACTACGGATCTCACTTATTCACAGTCACTTTCACAGTCGCATTTTGCTTCTGACTGTGTTCTGGGCCACCATTCTGGGCACTGGAGCTGCTTTCAGTGTTACTAAAAGCAGTTTTTTAAATGGATGGCACCGAAGAGTGAAACCAGGCTCCTTCACTGTTATCAAGGCTTCATTGACATCACTTACTTTGGTTTATACCAGCTCGAGTTTAAACCTTCGCTACCAAAAAACTGAAGCCACAAATTATGACTACCCTATGGCTTCACATATAAATTAATTCCTGCTACCGTGGACTAGTATAGAGGGTGCAATATGGGCCAGAAATTTGGATGCTTGCTACCGGGGAATGGGGTGCTTTGTTCCCATCCCTCGGTCTGTGCTCCAGAAAAAGAAAGTGGAGAATTTTTATATTTATGGGGTGCAGAGGTCTAAATGATCACTACCTTTAAGAGAGTAAACTGTCGGTTCTTCTCTTCTTTTGTTCAGCTCTTCAATGAAGCTTTTGCTCACATCATCCAAGGCCTGAAAGTGATAGGGCTTGTTAATAAAAAGCTCTAGAAATGCAGTTGCATACCTAAGTTTTTCCTGTTTTCTTTTGATCTCTGCTATCATTACCTGGTCCTTCCCTACCGTAAAACTCTCTGCAACAATATGCTTCGTTTCTCCCTGCAGTGATTCCTGCCTGTTAGTATCCCTTATGACATGTCTCCTCCCCTGAAGATGCCATCTCTCACACTATCATTTTTCTTCTGGCAGGAGAACAGGCTCTGCCTGAGCTCTGGACACCCACGAGGGATCACCAAACAGGTAGGTGTCTGTGCTGTAACTGTTGCCTGGCAAGCCGGGTGCGGTCAGATCACCCACAACCCACTGTCGGGTCAATGAAGGCAGGCTACCAGAACACGCAGACTGCTTTGCCGTGGGTCACTGGCCACACCGAGATGTTCTTCCATGGTCTGATGCGAAGTGGTTTCTCTGGGACATTTTGGAGAGGCCAGAAAAGGGTGAGCTGTGATCAGCAGCTGATAGCAACTGAACACAGAGAAGGCACCACTGTATTCTGTGTGTGAAATCCTTGCCCCAGGGAGGTCAAAAGAAAATTTTCGCTTGACCTGAGCAGGGCTAGGGCTTCACCCTTCTATATATGTTGGACTGGTTCAAAACTGGGGTTAAGTTTTCTGAGCCAGGAGGTTTCATAACTTTTAATATGTAAACTGCTTCAGAGGCTGCATTTTCCCCCTCTTAACACCCTAGCTATGTAGTGATGTTTTTTCAGTTCACAGGACACCAGACAATAGTTACAGCTAACTTATTGATGCTGCCCCAAGCTTCTCTCCTCTTTGCAACGAGCCACTTACAATAATGATGGCCTTTTGAGCAGCTTCATTGTGAATAAGCTTTGCCTTCTCAAGTGCTTTTTCAAAGTTCATGATTGCAGACCGGTAATCCTTTAGTTTTACTGTAACAGTCAAATGAAAACATCTATTTTAACACAAGATCAAGAGAACAACAATAGTTAATCAAGCAAGTCTCCGATAAGAGGTCTTGATCTGAACAGTTACTTTGGCTGTTAAATCACAGAGATGTTTTCACTAAGATGCTGAACGGACAGGCTGTCTCCATCCTTAAAGCGAAACTTGTACTAACGCCTTTACCTTGTGCTTGTGCCACGAGTACAGTAGCATGGAGTTGCCACTCAGCATCTCCCTCTTCATCTGCTGACTGCAGGGACTTCCGTCCGTAATTTTGGGCTGCTCCAGCTTCATTCAGCTCGAGGTAACATCGGCCAATTTCATGGAACAGCCAGGTCTTCTCCAGGCTGGATTTTGCCATTGGAATCTTCTCCTCCCAACTTCAAGCAGAGAGTAAGAAAGGCAGGCACTTACTGAATCTCACTAGGTGCAGTTATAATTTCAACCACTGATTCTATAAACAAAGGGTTCCAGGTGCTGTTGTTATGAAAAATTTCACAGCCCCCTTTGCTAGCGGTATGAATAAACAAACTGAAAAGACATCATCTATTTAATTCAAAATACCACCTTATGCCTTTTCTGTTACTAATTTTACATACGTGTCAATAGCTTGCTGGAATTTGCCAATTCTGGCATAAACTCTGCCAACGTTACCAAGGGCTCTGGATACGGCATCTCGCAGGTCGCTGCGTTGAAAAGAAAAAGAAATCACAGTAGCTGACGTAGTCTTGTTCCTGATACAGTCTGCGCTTTCTTCAGCCCTGTATATTTTCTTTGGTGCTCAACTTGACTTCAGGCCAAGTGTTGAGAATTAGAGGTAAAGGACAAAAGTCACACCGAAAGTCATAAAATCAAGGTAGATTTTGGGTTTTATCTACAGCTGTTGCAACTGACACCCCATAAGACACAGGGAAAAAGGGTTTCGTTTTGTCTTTGATTTTTTTGGTGCAAATCTGGCAGTCCTTGTGAAAGCCTTTCCATTTTTCTTTGCCTCAGTTTCCCTTTGTTGCCTTGTGGGTCTCACAGAAGTCCCCTACCGGCCCCTAGGTCCCTAACACTAATAGATTATTTCCGTCCAAGAGGAAAGTGAAGACGCAGACACATGTCTGCAATGTGTCTACAGACCCCTACAACAGACTCCTGGTAAGAGGCCCTGCTCCCAGTGCTGTGAATGAGCCTTTGCCCCATGCTAGAGGCAGCTCCTTCTATAATAATGCAGCCTGTGGACTTTAAATTGTTTCCTTAATTAGCCCTCATTCCCATCTTCGGAAGTGGCCTGCTTTAACTACCCTTACCTTAAATGAAAAAGCTGATGAAAAGAGAGGATAAATGCGTTGCTGGGGCGGTGCGAGTCATTAACAAGGTCTCCTCTCACCCTGGTGAACCCCAGCCACCAGAGGGCAAGGCCTCCCCCAGTCATCGCTGCGTTTCTGTCCTTTAAATGCAACTTTATACCGGTTTAAAAAGGTAGCAAAATCACGTACCTCATTCCTGCCTCTCTACTGCTAATTGTTAACTTTATTTGGTATAACTGGGGAGTGGAGATCACCAGGAGAGAGGCAGAAATTTTTTAAACCAATGGTAATTTTTAAAAGTGATTTGTGAAAACGATAAGCTAATAAGTCAGTTACATTTTAAAAGCCCTATACAAAAAGCCCTTGGCAAAAATAAGACCAAAATAACTTCAATTCAAGCAACTATTCAGTGTTTTCTCATGTGCTTTGCAAAACTCTTACTAAATCTTAAGACTACATTTTGCTTCATTCTGTTTTAGCCGAAAGAGCTGCAGAATGTGTTCTTTATGGGCAGGTAACTGTACCTCTTAGATAAACATTTCAAGCCTGCTATCACGGTTTGAATGCAAATGACGTTAAGAGAAAATGTAGCAGAAAACCTGTGCAATTTAGAGCCTGACCTTCCTGAGAAGGGAGTGTATACTAGCGGCTAAAGCGCTGAGACTGGGACTTGTGTTCTCTTGCTTTGCTTCAGCAGAGATTTAGACGTGCCACGTGGTCTAGGTCCTTTAAAAACCTGCTTCAGGCTCCTTATTTTTGAAATAGTGACGATAATAAGTCGCTAGAGACCGTGATACTTGGGCAGAGTCTGAATGCGTTGCCCTTTTAAATCTCCAGGTGAGAATTACATTACCTGATGCTAAAACATCTCAACAGAGGCACTTTCCCCTTTTCCCCGTCCATCTGAACTTCTCAGCACTTACTTCTGCCTGGCAAATTCCAGATCCATTTTATGGCTTTGCAGAGCTGCCTCCATCTGGCCCATCTCTAACTGAGCATTCCCGATGCAGCTGTGGAGGTTTCCAATCAGTTCATTCTTGTTGGGAACTTCATCATCTGACCACCCTTGTATTCTTTTTAGCACACGCTCAGCTTTCTTGCAGCTTTCTTCAGGGGAGTCGCCAGTCAGCACTAGAGACAAAGAGGAAAGTTTAATGCTATTGTGTGGACACAGTGATATTGGGGAAGTAAGACTAAGTGCAGTTGTGTAAGCCTCAGACAAAGCATGGGAAAGGTTAGAGCTCCTAACTCTTCATGCATCTCCTACACTCCTCCTTCCAGTCTCCAGGAAATCTGCCCCTGGGAGATGGTACTTCTGACCCTCCCCATGGCACTACTGGAAATCACTTTCATCACAGCAAGTAAGGGGAAATGACTCTGGTAACACTTCACACTTGCTGAAGAAAAATAAAGGAGTATGATGCTTGTTGTCTGAAGGTTTTGAAAGCTCACAGTTATTGCAGCAGGGCAGCCTGGTCTTGGAGATGAAGTTCTAGCTACAGTACTTGGGTTTTTATCTCCTAAATTAGCCCCTTGCACTTTCCTGGTGAGCTGTGTTCATTGCGCCCAGCTGGGCTACAGTGCTGCGGGAATTAGACTGCAGGATGTTTCTGACACTACCTTCACCGAGCTGTTGTAGCTTAAAAGAACTGAATTGCAGTAACGACTACATTCTTTTCCCTGGATTGTAAAATATATAGCACAGGAAGAGAGAAAGAGACCAGAAGTGGCTGAATTACTCCTTCCTCCCAGGCCACTGTTTTTCAGCTTCTTCATCTCTCTACAATGAAATTTTTGAACTACAGAAATTATTAACTCCAGTGGCCTGCATTCTCTCAATAAAACAACTTCTGATTACCAGACCAGAGGCGTTTGCTAAGCATGCAGCAGTGGCCTACCTGGCTTTGATACCTAAGTGGTGTCCTGAAAACCAATCAGCAAGACCTCAAGTACAGAAAAAGCTGATAAAAAAATGTGTTGGATTCTGTATCTAAGTGTTGGGAAAGGTGAAGAATACAAAAGCAAATACTTCCCAAAAACTGCCTACTACTGTTTGTTAATACTTGCACTGCTTCTGTTGTTCTGATCTGTAATTACTGCAGCAAATAATTACATGTGCCAATCATCATTTTCTTAATGCTTCCAGCCAGGACACCTACACATATCAATGTCCTCCATGCTCTTCACAATGTATCTGCCAACCTCAGCTGGTTTTCGTTTCTTGTCCCGGATCCACCTTTGCTGCCTGAGCTTGCGCTCTCTCACACGGGCATAAATAGGCTTCTGCTGCTGCCAGAATTCACTGCGTGTGTCCAGGTAGGAAATGCCACTCAAAACCAGGTCCGCTACTTTGATCCCCTGCTTTGTGCTGCTCTCCATCAAATCTGAAAATAAGATGGTAGAATGCAGGAGAGTATTAATGTGTATGATGGGTGAAGCTGCAGTCCAGTGGGGACTGCTTGTGAATGTTTTTCTGCTCTGACAGAGAGATAGTCCTAGAAATGAAAGTCTTCAGTGCTCCTTGGAACTGATGCAATTAGGAGGGAAGTTACGGAAAACTCCCTTGCTGTGACCCATTCTGTGTGTTTTTAGTGAGCCAGAGCTGGTGTTCCCAGCCCCTATAGTTGCTGCCTTCTCTGCTGACAAGAGCCAAGAAGGGGCCCAATTAATGGGGGCCAGCTGTGATGAGCGAGCACGCGTCCTCCCGGACAGAACAATTGTACGGGGCATTTGTACTGAAATGGCACTTTGAAAAGCGTTGTGGATTAGATTGCAAGATGGAAATCGAGGCTTTTACATGCCTGGAAACCAGATAGCCCACATGTATTATTAATGCTAGTAATGCCATAAAACCTGTGAGCAGACTAATTTCTTAATTACTTCTTTATTACTGGGTAAAGAGCTCCCTAGAAAAATTACTAAAGGGGAATGACCTTTCTGCCTCGTTCTAAAATAAGATACTTCTCTGAATCCTGCATCTTGATCTTAACAGCATTTATAACGAAACCACAAATGAGTTACAGTCTTATGAGCAATGCTTTGCACTTAATGCAAGTGTTAGTGGAATTTATCATTATGACAGAAGTTAAGTAATTTGTAATGATACTGTTTCTGCTTTTGATTTCATCAGCACAGATTGCTTTGAGTTGATTTATTGTTCGTTATAAAAGCCTGCCATTTAATAGGGAAGGAGATATGCTCAGACATAGTTATGAATAGTAGATCTGGCTCCAAAAATACCTGTACTCTCCAGAAACCTGCCTCTCACAGCCGCTTCAAGCACTATGTGCTATGTGAGCTCTGATACAAATAAGGAAGAGTAGTCACAGGGATAGGAAAGAAGAAGGAAAAAAAGAACCTGCTTAGACGGAACATTTAGTTAAATACAATGAAGAAAGACCTTTATCCTTGAGCAACTTTTCTAGGTAGGCCTTGTCAGCATAAAGCTCTCCAAGAAGCTGTCGCTCTGTTTTTGGATTCCTCACAGGCTGTTTCCTTGTCCATTTCTGATCCTTAGTCACTTTGTTTTGGAGTTTCTGATTTGCTTTTTTGCTCTACAGCGAGAAAAAATAAAGGAAGTCGGGGGAGATTAGTGGGGAACACTAGAATTAGCAGAATGCTGTTTACACTCCACATAAGCCAACTTATTTTTTAAATAAAACCAAAAAGTCAGTGTCTCACCAGTTGCTTTGGTCATGAGCAACTGACATTTTGCACCCAACTGTGCTCCCTCACTTCCAAGAACAGGAGGGGGCATTATAGTAAGAGCAAGAATTAGTTCTGCCCCCGTGTCTTGTACTGTTCTGGAGGGCTTCCAGGTCAGTGCTGTGGGAGGACATTAAGGCTGTGGGAAAGGCAGGTCTAGTTGTCCACAGTCAAAGAAACAGAGGCTGTAACAGCCAGGGCTTCTGAAACGTCAAGAGGGTATTTCTAAAGCTTCAAATCCAAAATCTCAACAATTACAATGCTAATCTTTAGGCTCCTTTGTATAAATTATTTTTACCACTGAGTACCTGTAATTCCCGTTGAAAGAAGCAATGAGCACTCACTGCACTGACTTCAAAGTGAAATGTGGCTCGGCATCTCGGAGGAACAAGGCACTACTTCAATGGACCACCCCAAAATTAAGCAATCGAGAAAGTGTCCATTATCAAAAATGTGAACCTTAAACATCAGGTAAAACCAAAGTAAATATTGTAGATAAGTGTACCCTGGCTCTGACCTCAGTGCTGTTACTTATTAGCCTTTGATGGGTGATCAGCAACACCCAACAGAAACAGTCAGGCTGGTAGAGAAATTTCAAACTGCACTTTGTTTCTCCATGGTTGCTCTTCCCTGCCCTTCTGCCTTCTCCTTTAAATTCTGTGTAGCTTGAACCAGAACTACATTAAAAGCAGGTGCATAAACACTCTCATAACAGATCAGTATGCTTCCTGCGCTCAGAAGGCACATCACTAGGCCAGCCGTATCCCCATCCATGTTGCTGCAGAAACTATTAATCCTTTAATGCCTATTTCAGAAAGTATTAGCATTATAATAACTCTAGTTAGCTTCTAAAGCAAGAGCTCTTCAGGCTGTACCTCTGCCTGCCTGCTTATAAAGCACAGATCCTCTTTATTCTCCAGTTTAATTGAGGATGGACCTGCAAATACAGAGAAAATACTTGTTAGTGTTCAAGAAGAGCAGTGCAGAGGCTTTAGAAATTAAAACGACCATAAACATGCCAAGCCTATAATGTCCTGTTTGAAATAAAGCTTTCTATTAATTCTTTCACACAAAATATGTGGATATTGGTATGTTCTGTAAGCAGGGAATACAGCACATAGATGCAGCCTCTCTCGGGATTTTAATTATTTTCACATGGCACCAGGGGGCTCCCATCACAGTGCGGATTTACTACAGAGACATGCTACATCCTGCATGGAAACAGAGAAGGAAAAAGGATGGCAGGTTCTTCTGAGGGATCACAGCTGAAGCTTAAAATTGAAGGAAAGCTCATAAGCACAGGGATCTCCAGCAACCCAGAGAACTATTTTAAAGTTTTTGTGCACTGACATTAGGGCAAAACTCCCATTTCATTTTCACCCTGACATCCAGTTCTGCTATTCAGATTGCACTCTGGCAGTGGAGGCAAGAGTGAAAAACAGCTCTTTGTTTTGGCCTGGTCAGAAGGAAGGAGCGAGCTTCGCATGCTGTTGTAGGAGGATTTCCTTCAGCAAGGCAACTGGGCCAAGATCAGCAATGCGAGTACTCGCGTATCACAGACGGCAGGTGTTTCTGAATCTGTCAAGGAAAGCAGATTCAGTTAAAGCAGTTTTGGGGATGTGCCCTGTGTGCGCATTTCCCAACTATTTAAACATCTAGATCAAATGCGAGCGTGTTTCCTTGCTTCTTTTCCTCTGCATCTAGGAGCTAGCGCTTGATTAAAAAAATGTCTTCTTGGTTTTTAATCTGTTCATTTGCCCAGATGCTTGGAGGCATTTAAAGCCATTAGCTCAGTATATCAAGCATGGCAAGCATTTCAGCTGAGAGTTGCAAAGATATCTAGGCATTTGTAATAAGCTAAGAAAGCAGCAGTAATGGAGGAAAGCAAGCCAGATCTGGAAACTTTCCCTGTTTTTTTAAATAAATATCACATATGAAAGAGCTTCAGGCTTTCACGCAGCTGGGACATGAAGTTAATCTGTGGCACTGGGGGTGGACTGAAATTTTGAAACTGATTTCAGGGGGAGTAAGGCACTTAAATATCCCAAGGATCAGGGCCTATGTGTATGGGTGTGCAGCAGGGTGTGTCCTGGCTCTGTGAAGGGACAGGCTGTCGGGGATCCACCTGAGCAGTCTCTAACTAGCCGGGCAGGTTCTACAGCAGCCTGGTGAGCTACGCACAGGTTGCTCTGTGCACGTGTCTAAGGTGGCAGCCCCAGCTGAGGTGTGTCTGTGTGCCTGAGAGTGGCTGCACATCCTGTCCATGCTTGTCTGCGTATGAGAGCATTGCTGAGAGGAAAAACTAAGGGAAAAGGGACAAGTTTTCAGTTTACTTTGAACATCACTAGGTCCTTGGCCTTTCCTGTCTCCTGCAGGATTCTATGATCTAAGCCAGAAATTAGGAAAGCAGTGCTCCATTGCGAGAGTCAACAGTTTCACTGATCTTATGCAATGTAAATTGGAGGAAAGTCAGGATCTCAGGAAGGCCAGTCTCAGGTAGCACGGCAAATTTCATTATTAACTTTGAGTATTGGGAGAAAGATCTCAAAATGGATTCTATAATCAGTAGGGCTGTAAGTAGATGAGCTGCTTTGTTCTGTATTACCTAGAGCATTTGCATGGTGACTTTGGAAATTTAAGTTAGTGTCATAATTTACTTACATAACTGAAGTTATTAGACACTGTATATGAATAGGCATTCAGCCAAAAAAAGAAGAAAAAAAGAACAGGGCTGTGCTGTTTTTGGTGCCTCCTGGTTTCATCTGAGAATGGCCACTGAGCACGTGAATCCAGAAGCAAAGAGACTCTGTTGTTGCAGGGTCCTTGGGTCACTTGCTGAGCTAATACGCCATCGGCTGTCCACCAAACAGCCTCCGGCTGTGCTTATAGGGGACATAAAATGAAACATCTTACTTCCAATGCAGTTGACAATTGCCTCCTGGGATTTCTCGATACCCAGCCTGAACTTCTGCAGTTCTGGACGCAGTCTGTAGCCTCGATGATAAAACACTAACGCAAATTCAAAATCACCCATGGTATATAATGTCTCAGCTTTTTGGTAAAGTCCCTAAAATGACATTTGGAAAAAAAAAAAGAAAGAATAAAAAAGAGAAAAAAAAAAAAAAGCTTCAGAGATCTCAATTAACTCCCCGCTAGGCAGAATTGAGAGCCCTACGCTATCGCAATCTGCATACAATAAAATCCAATCCTGGGACTCTTTCTCAATTCTTAACTAAGCACCTCCACTTCTCTGGAAGCAATAAAAATGTCAAGGGTGTGTTTAGAGTTAGCTGTTTCTACGCAATACTGTCTCCCAGACCCTTCAGAGTTTCACAGACAAAAGACCGGTCCTTGGCCACCCCAGCCTCTTACCACTTCATGCTGTTTACCTTGGAGAATGTTTTGTCATTTTGGAGAGAAGCTTCAGCATCTTTCAGGGAATTTTCTGTGTCTCCAAGTTTCAGGTAACATTTTGAGCGGGCAACTAGACAGTGCTTGTCTCCTGCTCTCAGCTTCAGTGCCTGGAGGACAGCAGACATGGATATGTCATCAGTGCTGGGCTCAACAGCACAAATATATACAAGCGCATATATTTGATGCAACCTGCTCTGTCCCAGCATGGATCTTGACAATGGATGAGGATAAAAACCCAACGTTTTTACTGAAAAAAATATTCTCTTGATGTTCACACGTTCCCTCTGCTGCAGCTACCCCGTCTTTCCATAGCTGCTGCATCCCCCCTCTGAGCACTCCCACGCACCAGACAGGAGCTGCACCTCCTCACGCTGCCCCGCGTGTGCCACCTCCCCTCACGCTGTGACCTCCAGGCGTCCCTGGGGACACTTCCCTTCACGCCACCACCTCGGCGGGCCGCGTCTCCTCACGCTGCCGCCTCCCCTTGCCGTGGGTGCCACGTTCCTCCACGTCCCCCTCCCCGTCGTGCTGCCCCTTCTGCCAGCCGCCCCCACGTGAAGCGGGTGC